GTCTTAGGTATTTTTTTTGTTTATTGTTAGTTATTTGATGTTACCTGAATGTTTTCTTACCTTATTATATTTAGTTTTAAGTTCTTATTATGTCCGAAGTAGTTGAAATCAACGTTAATTATATCAAATATGCTAACGAAGCTAATGTTGATCATATCAAATATGCTAGTGAAGCTAAAGATATAAATTTTATGAAGGTGATCAATGCCAATCATGATGAACTCATTAATGAAGCCAAAGATGCTAACTTATTAATAAAGTTGCAAGTTTTGATTTATTTACTAATAAGGTTTTCTCTAATTAGGAGTCTTGTAATTTGTTCATTATTGAATAGGCAAAAAAAAAAAGATTTTGTACAAAAAAAGATCATATATATCATGAATCTGAAGTAATAAGAAAGTATACATATCTATATGATCATGCTCGTCTTTATTGTTCTAAATTAAAAAAAGATACAACTTCAAAAAATTAATTGTGAATTCCTTGTTAATGTCTCATGCCCGAAGTTTAATAATCCTAAGTCTCAAATTCAAATCAATAAGATTGTTAATAGTTATAATCATCTTTTAAGTATTAAACAAATTAATTTTGAAGAAAATAAGAAGTTCTTACCTGAAATGTTAGAAAATATAAAATTTTTAACTTCCCATTGTAAATTTGGGCAACTATGCAGCAAAAGTTCTTAGAAGGAAAATATTCTGCATAACCAATTCACTCCAAGGATCTATATGCAGTAATTCAAAAGTTTCGACCAACTTCTAAATTATTGTTAAATAATGTAGCTTTGATATTTAGTTGGTTAGACAATCAAAAAGAAATTGATTCTCGATAAGTGGTTATTAGAGGATGGGACAAGAACAATATCCTTACTAAACTTTTTTGAATAACTCCTAAACAGATCAAAAATTAGATACAATTTTCAGACTGTGTTTTAAATAATGTTATACACAAAACTAATTGTTATAGCATGTCTTTATCTATGTTTGTGAGATTTAATCGATACCAGCACAATATTATTCTTGCACAAGCTTTATTATCAGATGAAAGTACAGAATCACATATCTGGATATTTGAAGAGATATTAAAAGTAACTAAAAAGCAACCAACAGTTATAATGACTGATGCTGATTTCACAGTAGATTTGGCTATTTGCAATATATTTTCACAAAGCTATCCAATTCATTGTGTCTTCTATTTGATACAAAATATTAATAAATACTTAAAGAATTCTCTTGGAAGTAATTATAGCAAATTTCTTGAAGCATTTTTTTTATATCGAAATAGTCTTGCAAAAAAAATATTTGAAAAAAGATTCAAAGACATTGGTAAAATTTTTCTAGTACTAACTCATATATGGAAGTATTATATTGTAATACTTATTGGGCCTATTGTTCTATACGATTTAAATTCACTGGTGGTATGATATCAACTTTATGAATAGAATCCATTAATGGGTGTCTAAAACAGTTACTACATAATTCAAATATTTCTCTATATGAATTAATAAGTAAAGTTTATTGGCTTTTGGATATGCAAAACCAAAAAGAAGAATATAATTTTTGAAAACTTGCAATTCCTTGCATAAAAAGTCAAGATAAAACAAATTTTCTGTTTAAAAAAATTGATGGATGCTTGAAAAGAATTCTTATCTTCATTATGTTACAAAAACATCATGATGAAATAAACCAATTGGTTTACTATGAGGCTAATAAATTTCTGAATAATGATATAGAAGTAAGTTTTTATTTGCTTGGTTATTGCCTCATTTAATAATTTAATATGGTTAATTATTTATTTAATTGTAGAGACACTGTCATGATAAACAAGAAATCGAAATATATGATGCATTGTTATTAGAAATGCAACAAATCCTACTAAATGAACTTATTTATTTAGTAGAAGGAATAAATAATATAACTAAAGTATGGTCTGGTAATTTGACTACTACAAAATATTATATATTATTATTAAAAAATTTGTCTTATATTTGTTTGTGTCTAATGATAATTTAGCAAGGCATTTTCTGTAGGCATTATTTTAAAGTAATGCTTATGACTGACTATGCCAAATTTTATATCCAGCTTATTCTTTCACGTTAGTATAATAATAATGTTGATGTTTCTAAAGAGCCTTTTTTTGAATGCAGATAAATTTTATGAAGAAAAATCAATAGAAGAAATAGTTTCTTCTACTACTTATCTATATGCATTTAATTATAATAATTGGGATTTCCTTAAAGAGAGTCTTAGTTTACTTTAACAAAGGAAGGTTTATGGAGAGTTACACAGTATTTACAAGAAAGCTCTCAATAAGGTTTTAAAAAGCCAACCAAAATCGCAACAACTTATTAATCTCTTACAAGAATTTACAGAAAAAATTAAATCTTCATCTAATGACTCATCTGAAGGTTTATTTAAAGACTCATCTAAAGACTTATCTGATGACTTATCTGATGATAAAGTTGATAGTAATAAAGAAAATCAAGAATTCATACTGTTAAATCCTAAAAAAAAACGTGGAAAAGGGTGACCAGCAGGTACTAAATGTCTTAAATCGGCATGCGAACCAAAAAAAGGCACCAAAAAATAGCAAAGACATTGTAAAAAATATAGCAAAGTTGATCATTACCAGAAAAGCTATAAATCATAATTTATATATACATATTGAGATATAGTATATTGTTCTATATATTCTGTATAAGTTATATTGCTCAATAGTCATATTAACAAGATGGCTGAATAAGAGTTATTTTAGTATTAAGCACTTTGATTTTCACTAGTCAAATATAAGAAATTCGACTACCGAATGAAATGGCCAATTTGTCCTGAATTCGATAGCTGAATATTTGGCTAATTTTATAGGATTATTGGAATAATTCGATCTGAATTAGATAGCTAATTTTATATCGAATTATTG